AGCCGGCAGGGTCGGTGGGCTTTGTGGGGGCGAAGGCCGAGCCCGGTGCTGTTTCACCGGTGCAGCCTAGAAGGCGGCTCCCACGTTTGTGTGAAACGCGATGTCAAACTGAGATGGGTTTAATAAAGCGTGGACGCTGTTTTGGTTCTGAATGCCTGCTTTCCGTTTGCAGTATGCTGTGGCTTTGCTTTCAGAGGCAGCTTAGTAAGAATCTTAATCATATTAATTTTATTTTAACCTCTGCTGCTTTTAATGTGGCTCAGTCTTAACGCTATCTAAACAAAATACTTGTCCAAAGTTGGCCTTTTCACAGAAATGTTTAAACAAAACTAGAGCCTCCTATGTGTTTAGTTTTTATGTAAATGGGCATGATTTTATTACTTTCTGAACAAAATTCGGTATTTATTTTTCTCCTCCTTTCTCAGAAATACCCACCTTATATTTCATCAAGCATCCCTTTCCTTGGACATGCAATCGCATTTGGAAAAAGTCCCATTGAATTTTTGGAAAATGCTTATGACAAGGTATGTTTTCCTGCATGACTGGCTGAGCATGTGCTAAAATACTTTTGTGTATCTATGGATTTCTGTATCTGGAGCCTGTTTAAAATCAGTTCATTCTCATTTACCGCCTCGAATATGGAGTGGGGTGTGCCGAGTAGGCTCTGGTTTCTTCAGACGTCTTTGTGTACTTTATTGTTAGAGAAACGGTGTTTCTGAGATACCTCTTGTGATTCAGATTTAAAAAATGTGTCTTCATATTTGGCTTGTAGCTGAATCACAAGTTAATTAAAAAGCTATTTCTTGCCTTAATTGAGAATTTTTAATCTCACTCTTTACTAATCTGTGACCAGGCTGGAATGTAGCTGACCACCTCTGTGGGCAATGTGATGAATTTTAAGGCTCCCTCCAATGTTAAAAGGGCTGATGTATAAAACCTCAGTAGATTTTACGCTGTAACAATCCAAAAGAAATGGACTAAGGCAGTAGAGCCTTAATTCCAATGAAATAAGATTTAATGATCTGTTTCGTGTTGTCTAAAACATAAGCTTAAATCTCAGCTTGGTTAGCTTAGAGAAAGCCAAATTTAGTATGTGAAGATCTGCTGGAGATAACCTTTAAAGTTTAAAATCTTACTTGCTTTTGATTACCTATACATAACTCCAAATCCAGAATTTTTTGAGACAGCATTTTTAGATTACTGGATGCTATATGTGCTATAATGCCCCTGCTAGTTTCTGTAGTGTAATTGAGCTTTTATTTACATTTTTTTAAACTAAATGATTTTAAAATGTGCAAGATCACTTGTGTTTGTTATAATGTTAAATATCATTGGTGAGTATATTGAGAACAGAATTAAATGTGGTTTGAAATATTTATATCTTTATTAAATCTTTAGACGCTTCTTAGGAGAGTAAGTGATTTGTGAAAGACTGTACGTAAAGAGACACTGATTTAATGATTTGTGTTCTTATTTAAAATAAACTTTTTTTTTTTAGTATGGACCTGTGTTCAGTTTCACCATGGTTGGCAAGACATTCACATACTTGCTGGGTAGTGATGCCGCTGCTCTCCTCTTCAATAGCAAAAACGAAGATTTGAATGCGGAGGATGTATACTCTCGGTTAACTACACCAGTTTTTGGCAAGGGAGTTGCTTATGATGTCCCTAATGTGGTATGTATTTTGAATATGAGATGAGTGGAAGAGTAGTGTAATTTATATTCTGAGTAGGCAGCCCTGAGCTCTTGGCTCTGCATGATGGGGTTGCGTGTTCATAATCAGTTCTGGCATTTTGCAGTTGGTAAATTGTCTCAGTTGGATAATCAAGACTACGCACGTTTAGGTTGCTTTATTTACCACCTGGTCATTTGTTAGTCTGCATGCTGTTTTTTGTTTTTGAAGCTGCCTAATGCCACCATAGAGGAAAAACTAGTAAGTGAAGCTCTTTCTTTTCCTTACAGCATGCCACTGGCTGCAGTCTGCTTTTCCCTTACAGGCAACTTTAGGTCTTCCTTCTGAGAGCGCTTTAAGAGTGATAATTTTTCATTTATGCCACGCCAAATCTAGATATAGGAGTATTAATTTGACAATTAGCACCACAAGGTTTGTGTTGCTCGGACAAAAGTCAGTCTGTATACGTTTGCAGAATACAGTCTGCATGGGTCTGGAAGCACAGTGGCTGTGTCACGTGGCATTGTTTCTGAGCTAAGCGTTGGCCGCTTTCTTGTTTGTGCGTGTTGTCTGGCATGACAGACTCTTGAACTGCAGAAGCCAACTTTTCCATGGACAGACTTGCTCCACTGGGACTCGGTATTCAGTGTATGTTGACATCGACAGCCTGTTGTACAACAGAGTAGTCTGGTTGCAGAAATAGCATTGTGATATACTTTAGTTTTGGATTTTCAGTTTTTGCTTCATTTTGTTTGGATAAGTGCCTATCACTTGACCAGTAATAATTTCTGCGGCCATCGAGACTTTTCCTTCTTAGCATGCCTCTTCATTCTCCCCTGCTGAAGGTATTTGCAGTGATTGTTGCTTTCTTAGTTGTGTGTCTTAGGGGCAGTAATCACTAGTCTGTTTTCCTCCACACTGGCATTTTGCAGTGATCCACCAAGTATGTGTGTTGTTCTTACCTCATTCTTTTGGAAGCCTCACATACAACTGACTACCAAAAACTTACCACTTTGTCAATAAGTGAAGGAGAACTTAGTTTTCTCCTGCTCTGCTTTGTCAGGGAGTGTTAAATTGTGGATAGACTGTCACAAATCTGGGGAGAGGATTGTTTGGTTGTTTGGGTGGTGCATAGCTCCTGCCATCACTTTGTCAATAAAACCATCAGGACTGCAGCCTGGATAACAACTAGGAGATCATTTCTTTGTCCTAGGAGACCTCTTCCACAAGTGGGGCCGTTCTAACGGACTTGTTTCTACCAGTTCCAACAGCCAGAGGTCTTCCTCAAAATGTCAGGGATGGAGTTGGGGATCCTTTTTGGAGCTGCTGGAGTGCAGAGGGTACATGATTCTCTGCAATACATCTTTCACGTTCTTCTCTGGTATATACTAGTTTCAGAGAAGTGTCGATGAATCAGACATAGAGTGCTAAGTTGGCTAGATTTTCACTATATTGTCCTTGTTCTTTGGATTCTGACTGTCATGGGATGTCTGCTTGAAAATGAAAGGTGCTGGTTTGTCTGTTAATTCTGTGACAGTTCATCTACTTGTTGTTACAGCTATTTTGACTTCTGCTTTCACAGTCTGCAGTTCATGGATGGATTTGAATGTTTGTCTTCATTCAAGAGCCAGTTCTTCAGTGGGATGTAATCTCATCCTTCAGGAGTTTTATAGAACTTTCTATAAGCTCTTTGGAAATATGGGCATTTCTGTGTTCTTCAGGCATATAGGGATGATTAAGGCCTACCTCATTGGTCTACCATATACTGCTTTTTTTCTGAACTAAAGTATTTTGCTAGAGTTACCCTGAGTTTTTCCCAAGAATGTGTTTGAGTTCTGCTTTAGCCAAGAGATTAATCTTTTCAGATTAATCTTTTCATATTACTCAGTAAGCCTTGGATGTCTGTGGATAAGTTACTTCATTCATACCTTTGATACTAGAAGGACTTCTACCTTCTTATCTCTGCAGTTTCAGCTTCCTCAGAAAATCAATCACCTGGGCTATTTTTTTCCACAGCTAGGAGATGCAGGGACTTTGCTATTGACACACACTGATTATCTCTAGTTGTGTGTTTCCCTATATGAAGCTAGGGAGGTGGCATGTCTCCTTGTGGCCAGAATGCATTCTGCTAGAGGTGAGTTGGTTTTTTACATGGTGCTACCCCATGATTTCATTTCAGACATAGAGTCATAGAATAGTTTGAGTTGGAAGGGACCTTTAAAGGTCATCTAGTCCGACCCTCTCATGCAACGAGCAGGGACATCTTCAACTTGATCCAGTTGCTCAGAGCCCCGTCTAACCTGACCTTGAATGTATCCAGAGATGGGGCATCTACCACCTCTCTGGGCAACCTGTGCCAGTATTTCACCGCCCTCATTGTAAAAATATGTCTTCCTCATGTCTAGTCTAAATCTACCCTCTTTTAGTTTAAAACTGTTACCCCTTGTCCTATCGCAACAGGCCCCACTGAAAAGTCTCTCTCCATCTTTCTTATAAGCCCCTGTCATGTTATGACACAAGGTCAGACCAGTAGAGGTCAGGGAGCAATTTGACCAGTCTACCAGCTTCCCAAGAAAGACGAGACCCTTGTACCTGACCCACCTGCCCCCCCTGGGCAGCCCGCAAAATCGGAGGATGTTCACCTAACCCGTTCAGGGACCCTGCCAGCAGCACAATGAGCTAAATCCCTTACAGTGATTATGAAGTTTCCAGAAACTTCTATTTATATAAAAAGTTTTATTACATATGCTCGTGACAGGATAGAGATTCGAAGATAGCTGGGGATAGGGACTGACTGCGAAAACAGATTTGATTTAGAACAATATAAAATTAGAACTGAGCAGTGATAATACTAAATAGCAAGATGTTAGTAACGGCAATGCAAGGATGGTGTCCATGCTCACCATGGGCTATAATGGTGATAGTCAGCAGCTTCACAAGTGAGACTAGGATAGAGAGAAGTGGTGGCTTTGTAGACATATCTAAAGCTAATTTACTTAGATAAATAGGCTTGAGAAATGGGCCACTGCTAACTGCATGAGCTTCAACAAGTCAAAATGCAAGGTCCGTCACCTGGGTCGGGCCAATCCTAGGCATAAATACAAACTGGGCACAGAGTGGGTTGAGAGTAGCTCTGAAGAGAAGGATTTGGGGGTGTTCATAGATGAGAAGCTCAACATGAGCCGGCAGTGCGCTCATGCGGCCCAGAAGGCCAACTGCATCCTGGGATGTATCAAGAGAAGCGTGGTCAGCAGGTCAC